TAAATACGTCTTTAAATTCTAGTATTACTCATCTTTGGGGCTTTCCTGTGAAAAGCCTAGTACTTACCAAATGTTGGTAGCAGAAAAGTAATTCAAACCAATGACCCCGGATTTGCCTGGCCCATGTAATCTAGCTTCAAAATCAACAGCTGCAGGAGTAGCAAGAGCAGCAGCTATTTATCTGCAGCTATGAAGTGCCAGCTAGATAACCGAAAGGCAATAGAGGAGACCTGTGTTGATTAGACTCTAGAACCCTGGCCAGACCTGTGTGACAAAGGTATGTCCTGGGAAGTGGCATTTGGTGATGATGACATCAGACAAAGACTACAGATCATTTTAAATCACTAGAAGAATATGATGATCTTGCTATTTCCACACACTTCCAGGACAAAGAAAATAAATGTTGGCCAAGCGTGGTGGCTCATGCATGTAAACCCAGCACTTTGGGAGGCTGAGGTGGGTGGATCACCTGAGGCCAGGAATTCGAAACCAGCCTGACCAACATGCATCTCTACTAAAATATAAAAATTAGCTGGGTATGGTGGTGCATGTCTATAGTCCCAGCTACTTGGGAGGCTGAGGCACAAGAATCGCTTGAACCTGGGAGGCGGATGTTGCAGTGAGTTGAGATTGCACCACTGCACTCCAGCCTAGGCGACAGAGCAAGATTCCATCTTGAAAAAAAAAAAAAAAGAAGAAATGTTAACAGAGAACAGGAGGATCTTTAGATGAGAGGCAGCTTTCTTTTTCCTTCTTTATTCTAAGATGAAGAGCCAAAGCAATCTGCTGTTAAGTGCAAAGAGAAGCCCAAAAGCCTAGAGGGAATAAAAACACATTTAGAACAGAGGTTTAAAAAAAGGACCTTGAAAGGAAACTACAAGGCTATGTAAACAAACACATGGCTGAATGCATACTGAGGAAAAGCAGGTGGGGGCTGCCCAGTCTCACCTGACACCCTCCCCTTTCACTCCCACACGGCAGTCACAGCCATGGACAAACAGGCCCCCGAGGCTCTCAGCAGCCAACCTCTGCACCACTCACACCTTACCTCACACTCTACTTCCTGAGAAACCTCGAATCTTCCAGGTTTTGAGGTCAGGCATGGTTTTCCTACTATGGCGTTGTGTCGCCTCCCAGACTTAACACTTAGCTTTGAGCACTTGCTTTCCTTGACCAGGATTTAGACATTTCTCTAGCATGGCCGCCTGTGGTCACTTCTACCTTCAGCCTAGCCCAGGATGTTGCCCTACACCATGTGCCTGTGCACACATGGAAAAGTGCTCAGCTCTGCTTCAGTGTAGCCTTTCTTCCTCGGGTGCAGCCCTCAAGACCATGCCTAGAGTTGACTGGAGCGATGCAGCTGCAGGCCAAGGGACACAGATGGCTAGGCGGCTCATGTTCAGAGGGAATCTTTAAACATAATAGAAAGCCAAAGTATATGCAATGCTTTCAAAATCCCCTAATTCTACTGCAATAAGCCAACGGACTCAGGGAGACACACACACACACACACACACACACACACACACAATTTTTTCCTATGTTGTGTGAGAAAAAATCATTTAATTCTGTCACAAAATGTTCTACATGTTTTTTAAAATTACAGTATGATTTCCCTGGAAAACTTCCTAAGAGGAAAAAAGCATCTATTTCCTATGTCTTCATAGCTGCAGATAAATAGAAGGGAGGAGTGGCTTCTGATGGGAAAGCTGAGGTAACCATCAATTGTGAGCCACCTTGGGGCTAAGCAATTTGCACAAGGACTGCAACGCTGTGTGTGTGCAACTCCTGCCCTGGGTCAGGGCAGTACCCTGTCAGCTCCCGCCTGATATCACAGCCCTAGTAGCACATAAGCAGCATGGTGGAATCGCGCTGACCGTCCTCCCACCTCAGCCTTCAGAGTGGATGGGACTGCAGGTACTGCTACTATGCCTGGCCGAGACCTGGCTGTTTCTCTTGTTTCTTTGTTGTTGCATGTTTTGGAGTTGTTGTTTTGCTTTTTCGGTTTGTTCGTTTTTGAGACGGTCTCACTCTGTCACCCAGGCTGGAGTGCAGTGGTAAAATTTCGACTCACTGCAACTTCAACCTCCCCAGCTCCAGTGATCCTCCCACCTCAGCCTCTTGGGTAGCTGGGATCACAGGCATGCACCACCATGCCTGGCTAATTTTTTGTGATTTTTTATAGAGACAGGATTTTGTCAGGTTCCCCAGGCTAGTTTCGAACTCTTCGGCTCAACAGACAGGATTTTGCCACGCTGCCCAGGCTAATTTCGAACTCTTTGGCTCCTTTGGGAGGTTGATCCGCCTGCCTCAGCCTCCCAATGTGCTGGGAATACAGGTGTGAGCCATCACGTCCAGCCGACCTGGCTGTTGTGACAACTGACTCTGAAGCCTGTTTCCCCACTTGTAAGATGGGAATAGTAATATCTATTCCTTATTATTTAAGGTAGCTGTGATGATTTGAATTGTATCCCCCGAAAAGTAACCTAAAGTCCTGACCCTGCAGTACCACTGAATTCGACCTTGTTTGGAAATAGGGCTGTTGCAGGTGTAATTAGTTTAAGATGAGGTCACACTGAAGTAGCATGGGTCCTTAGTCCAGTATATCTGGTGTCCTTATAAGAAGAGGGAAGACAGCCATGTGAAGACACAGACACACAGCGAGAATGCCAGGTGATGACAGAGGCGGAGATTGGAGGGAGGCAGCTGCGGCCCAGGAACGCCAAGGATTGCTGACAACCACCAGAAGCCAGGAAGAGCCAAGGAAGGTTTCCCTGTGACGTGTCTAACAGGGAGCATGGCCCTAACTTGATTCTGGACTTCGAACCTACAGACCTGTGAAACAATACATTTCTGTTGTTTTAAGCTCTCTCTGTTTGCCTAATTTGTTATGCCAGCCCTAGCAAATTAATATGGTCCTAGAGGCCTAATACATTTATTGTGTGTGTGTGTGTGTGTTGGGGGCAGGGGGAGTAAGTATACTGTAACTGCAGAGGAAACAGAACAAATCAGGTAGACAGGAAGAAAACAAGGACAAGGCAACCTTTCTTATGCATCTAAACCAAGAAGTGCCATCATTTCCTGTGGACCTGACCTTCCCGTTCACGCTGCTCCAGCACTGGCTTCTGGCTGTGGCTGGAACACCCCAGCTGCCTTCCTCTACCTGGAACATGCCCAGGGCCAGCTCCTGACTTCCTGCCTTTCCTCAATGAGGCCCATTCTGCAATGTGCACGCCCACCCCACTAAGCACTCCCAACCCCCCTTGCTCTACTTTACTTTTTCTTTTCTCCATGTTCTCAGTGGATTCTAATATCCTACGCATGTATTTATTATTTATCGTCTCCATCCAGGCTACAACACTAAGCTCCATGCACTGATGTGAACAAACATCTAAAACAATACCTCATTCACTGTAGGTGCTTAAGAAAAAATTTTCTAAAAATCTGTCATTCATTTAAAAATGACCACTTTATTACAGAAGCTGTCTGATTTCATTATAAAAAATTAGAAAAAATTAAAAGCTTGAAACTTCCACCATCTAACCAAACCTCTTACATTACAAGAAATCAGACTGACTTTTATCTTCTTTAAGTGATTCCCTAAGGGGTCCTGTCAGTCCAGCAGAAATCTCATGGTAAGGGTAACACTCATCTTACAAAGCTTGCTGTGTGAATTTAATGAAATAAAGTAACCAAATACTAAATACAATGCTTACCACAGCAACTAATACAACTAATGAGTAGTTTTCATTAATAGGTAGTTACTGTAATAGGTCATTGTTGATAGGTAGTTGTCATAACAACTAATAGGTAGTTGTTATTTTATTTCCTTTCATCTCATCTTTAACATCCATCCCTTCCCTCAACTTACAAAAAGTAAGTGGCAGATACCTGCAGTCAAAATAATGACATGATATCATCATTATTATTTTTTTAGATGGGAGTCTCACACTGTCACCCAGGCTTGAGTGCCGTGGTGCGATCTCGGCTTACTGCAACCTCTGCCTCCCGGGTTCAAGCAATTCTCCTGCCTCAGCCTCCTGAGTAGCTGGGATTACAGGTGCACAACACCATGCCCAGCTAATTTTTTGTATTTTTAGCAGAGACAGGGTTACACCAGGTTGGCCAGGCTGGTCTCAAACTCCTGACCTTGTGATTTGCCCACTTCAGCCTCCCAAAGTGCTGGGATTACAGGTGTGAGCCACTGCACAGGGCTGCCATGATGTTATTTTGCAGGGGAGGCAGGCGTGAGGAATACCTCCCACTCCCAGCACTCAGAAGACAAAGTTCCCCAAACTCACAGGGCCAAGCTGTATGGCCCAAAGCACCATGTGACGCAAGGCCACTAACTATTTCCATAGAATTTTCTAATAGCAACAAAACAATGAACAGTGATAACCAATATATATATATTTTTTGAGACGGAATCTTGTTCTATTGCCCAGGCCAGAGTGCAGTGGTACAATCTTGACTCACTGTAACCTCTGCCTCCTAGGTTCAAGCGATTCTCCTGCCTAGCCTCCTGAGTAGCTGGGACTACAGGTGCCCACCACCACCCTGGCTAACTCTTCTATTTTTATTAGAGATGGGTTTCAGCATGTCGTCCAGGCTGGTCTGGAACCCCTGACCTCAAGTAATCTGCCCACCTCAGCCTCCCAAGTGCTGGGATTTCAGGTGTGAGCCACTGTACCTGACTGATAGCCACATTTTTGTATTACATATCCTCTCATTTACAAAACCTTTTCCCATGAAACTTTCTTTTATAGATGAATAACTGGGGTTCAGAGAATTTAGGCCACTTGTCCAAGTTGACTCAGCTGGTAAGTAGAAGAGTTGGGAATTCAATCTAGGATTAGAAGATCATTGATGACAAGGATCATCTCTCTTGAATTCAGTGAAATACACACTATTTCTAGAATCCCACTCACAACAAATGAAACATTCCTTAGCATTTTTTCCATAAGCTACTTCCCTCTCCATACTCTCTGTAAAATACTTACCTATCTTAATAGCCACAAGTCCTTTTCTTGTTGGATAATCCTCCACCAAAATTTTCTCCTTGCAAAAAGGAAAATTCGCCTTCAGCTGTAAATGTCAGGAAACGGGGTACATTGCTGAGGAAGCCTGGGAATCACTGCTCTTGTAAGCTGTTGAGAAAAAAACAAAACATCAAGGACTTTATGTCTTCCATCCTCTCCTGGGAAGCCTTTAAAATGAATCTCTTTTCCAATCCTTGGCAGAAGTTAGTACAAAAAAGGTTTCTTCCCCCCATGAGGGTTCCAATTAGGATTAGTAATATTAGATTTGCATTGCTTAGCCAAAATTTACTACAGAGCTTTAAAAGCATTTATTATTAACTGTTCCCCTTTTTGAGAGGACTAAAAAAATCACATCCCTGAATACTGAGACTTCCATATGCTTACATATAGGATTCTCACATTTATTCTTCATGTAATTTAGCTAAAATTCAAGAAGCTAGAAGACACAAATCCAATTTAGCAGACAAGTGAAGGCAGTAATCATTAGGTTATTTCCTAGTGAAGGTACCTTTTTACTCTTATACAAATCACAGAGTTAACTAGGTTAATGAGCTCCCCATGGGTAGAGAGCGCAATCCCTTCTAAAGCTGCCTGAATGAAAACCAGGATGTAATGAATGTAGGTATTAGCTGGGATGGAAGAAGAAAATGTCCAAGAAACAACCTCAAATTTACACAGGCTCTCTGCAAAGCCCTGTGAAACAAGACAACATTCTGGGGCAACGATACAGGAAGAAATCACTCCAAATCTCAGGATGGACATGGGTGTCAGGCCCTGATAGGGGTTGGCCTGTATGGACTTAAGAGAAGAATTCTCAGTTCTAGCTATGAGGGACTAGCTTCTAGCAGACCAATGTCCCATTGAATACAACTAGAACAGTTGGCAAAAGTTATTTTTAAAACCTGTTTAAAGGCTTTGAAGGACTACCAGGGCAGCCAGGACACAAGAGGCCATGATCTTAAGAAAGAAGGGAAATAAAATTGAGGAAAGTCAGACATTTTGTACCATTTTTCCTTTGAGACATCTACTGGTTTTTTAGGAAGCACAGAGTGAATCTGCTGAGAAGCCTGGCAGAAAGTGGCTATTTAGAGGAACATAAAGTGAGTGGAACTTTGTCCAGCTCACAGGCTGAGGAGATCCCAGAGAGAAGGGAAACACAAAGAAATGAACTCAACATTCTGCCTCTGTTTAACTCTGTAAGAAACTGTGAAACATTTTTCAGAAGTGGTTGTATCATTTTATACTCCCATCACTAATATATGAGAGTTCTAATTTACACAACCTCATCAACATTTGGCATTGGCACATTAGAGAACTAGAAAAGCAAGAACAAACAAAACCCAAAATAAGTAGACGGAGAGAAATAATAAATATCAGAGCATAAATAACATTGAGACAATAAACCACCAAAGATTAATAAAATTAAAAGTTGGCTTTTTAAAAAGATAAACCAAACTGACAAACTTTTATTTAAGCTAAGAAACAAAGAGAGAAGACTCAAATAAATAAAATCAGAGACAGAAAAGAAGGCATTACACTTGGTACCATGGAAATAAAAAGGCTCATTAGAGACTATTTTGAACAACTGTGCAACAATAAATCAGAAAAGCTAGATGAAATGATTACTCTCCCACATCCATGCAACCTACCAAGATTGAAAAATAGAGAATCTGAACAGACAATAAAAAGTAACAAGAATCAATATTGTGAAAATGGCCATACTGCCCAAAGTAATTTATAGATTTAACACTATCCCCCTCAAACTACCAATGACGTTCTTCACAGAACTGGATAAAACCATTTTAAACTTCATACGGAACCAAAAAAGAGCCCACATAGCCAAGACAATCCTAAGCAAAAAGAACAAAGCCGGAGACATCACACTGCCAGACTTGAAGCTATATTATAAGGCAACAGTAATCAAAACAGCATGGTACTGGCGTCAAAACAGAGACACAGACCAATGGAACAGCACAGAGGCCTCCAGAGCAACACCACACATCTACAACCATCTGATCTTTGACAAACCTCATAAAAACAAGCAATGGGGAAAGGAGTCCTGTTTAATAAATGGTGTTGGGAAAACTGGCTAGCCATGTGCAGAAAGCAGGAACTGGACCCCTTCCTGACACCTTACACTAAAATTAACTCCAGATGGATGTTAGGTCTTATATTTAAGACATCATAAAAACCCTAGAAGAAAACCTAGGCAGTACCATTCAGGACATAGGCATGGGCAAAGACTTCATGACTAAAACACCAAGAGCAATGGCAACAAAAGCCAAAATAGACAAATGGGATCTAATTAAACTTCACAGCTTCTGTATAGCAAAAGAAACAATCATTAGAGTGAACGAGCAACCAACAGAATGGAAAAAAATGTTTGCAGTCTACGCATCTGACAAAGGGCTAATATCCAAAATCTACAAAGAACTGAAACAGATTTACAAGAAAAAACAAACCCATCCAAAAGTGGGCAAAGGATATGAACACTTTTCAAAAGAAGACATGTATGAAGCCAACAAACCTATGAAAAAATGCTCATCATTACTAGTCACTAGAGAAATGCAAGTCAAAACCACACTGAGATACCATCTCATACCAGTTAGACTGGTGATCATTAAAAAATCTGGAGACAACAGATGCTGGAGGGGATGTGGAGAAATAGGAACACTTTTACACTGTTGGTGGGAATGTAAATTAGTTCAACCATTGTAGAAGACAGTGTGGCAATTCCTCAAGGATCTAGAAATAGAAATTCCATTTGACCCAGCAATCCCATTACTGGTTATATACCCAAAGGACTATAAATTGTTCTATTATAAAGGCACATGCACAGGTATGTTCATTGCAGCACTGTTTACAATAGCAAAGACTTGGAACCAACCCAAATGCCCATCAATGATAGACTGGACAAAGAAAATGTAGCACATATACACCATGGAATACTATGCAGCCATAAAAAACGATGAGTTTGTGTCCTTTGCAGAGACATGGATGAATCTGGAAACCATCATTCTCAGCAAACTGACACAAGAACAGAAAATCAAACACTACATGTTCTCATTCATAGGCGGGTGTTGAGCAATGAGAACACATGGACACAGGGAGGGGAGCATCACACACTGGGGTCTGTTTGGGGGGCCAAGGGAGGGACAGTGGGGGCAGTGGGGAGGTTGGGGAGGGATAACATGGGGAGAAATGCCAGATATAGGTGACGGGGGGGATGGAGTCAGCTAACCACATTGCCATGTATGTACCTATGCAACAATCCTGCATGATCTGCACATGTATCCCAGAACCTAAAGTACAATTTAAAAAAAAAGAAGCAGAAAAACATTTGACAGAAATCAACATCCTTTTCTAATAAAAATCATTCAAAACTGGAAATACAAGACAGTTTCCTTGATCTGATAAACAGCACCTATGAAAAATTTAGAGCTAACATTCTACTTGATAAAAGGCGGAATGATCGCCTCTTAAGATTGGCAACATGGCCAAAGTGTCTACACTCACTACTTCTGTTTAACATTGTAGTGGAGGTCATAGAAACAGACAAGAAAGAGAAATAAAAGTCATACAGATTGGAAAGGAAGAAGTAAAACCATCTTTATACACAGACAACATGATAATCTATGAAGAAAATCCTGAGGAATCTATAAAAGGTAACCAGAAGTAATATGTGAGTTTGCCAAGGTTTTAGGTTACTAGGTCAATAAATAAAATCAACCAGCTTATTTCATTTAGCATAATTTCCTCACAGTTCATCCATACTGTGTATTGCAGGATTTCCTTCTCTTTTAAGGCCGAATAGTATTACTGTGTATACATATGTCACATTTTTTAAGTCCATTCATCTGTTAGTAAATATTTAGGTTGTTTCCACATGTTGGCTTTGTGAATAGTCTATTCAGACTTCGAAAAGAAGGAAATCCTACCATTTGCAATAGCTTGGATGAACTTAGAGGACATTATGTTAAATGAAATATGCCAGGCACAGAAAGACAAATACCACGTGTTATCACTTACATGCAGAATCTAACAAGATCCAAATCATAGAAGCAGAGAGCAGAATGGTGGTTACCAGAGGCTGGGGAGAGGAGCTAACAGGGAGATGCTGGCCAAAGGGTAAAAAGTTTCAGTTAGACAGGAAGAATGAATGGTAAGTATTTCAGATGATGATATGTTAATTAGCTTGATTCAATCATGCTACATTGTATTCATATATCATAGCACCCAGCCCATAAATATATACAATTACAATTGGTCAATATCCAGTTTAATAAGTTAGATACACACTATCCTACACATTTCTGTCTTCCCTTAAAGTAACCTGGAGATATGTTGCATATCAGTACAATGTGGATCTATCACGTGCTTTTTTAATAGCTCTATAGATATAACACAGCCTTTTTGAAAAAAAATGAAAATTTATAAATTTATTGATAATTTCCTAAATTATATAATAAAGTTAAACATCATTTCCTTTTCTCATTGTAAAAGTGGTAAATAATAATCACAAAAGAAAAGTCAAGAAGTGAAAAATATCACTCACAATCCCACTAAAACTTTGTTCATGTAGTTCTTTCTAGACAGTTGTTAGAGTCTGGTGGATGGGCATTCACACCAGAATCACCTCAGGTGCCTTCATATGAGCACATTTCAGGGCACTGTCCCATACTTATTAAGTCAGAATTTCTGAGAATGGTGCCTTATTTAGTATTGTAAGATTCACCAATGAAGTTTGAAAACTGTAGTTTGAAAACTTTGCCTTAAAAGTTTTCATTATATTTTACGTGCAATGTTGCATTACTCCTTTAAATATTTTTTTACGGCTAATGTTTTGTATTTTTCCATGTTACTAAATTGTCCTTGCTACTAACATTTTAATTGCCTGTGTAATACTCCATTAAATAAGTGTTTCTTTTTTCTTTTTTGGGGGGCAGGGAGGAGACAGAATCTCCTTCTGTCTTACCCCCAGGCTGGAATGCAGTGGTGTGGCTCACTGCAACCTCTGCCTCCTGGGTTTAAGTGATTCTCCTATGTCAGCCTCCAGAGTCTGGGACTACAGGCATGCACCACCACACTGGCTAATTTTGTATTTTTAC